GTTAGATTCAGTAAATAAATATCAAAAAACTTACATAAAATAGTTAATTGTATATCCATTGAAACTCGTTCTTTAACTCCATTGTCAGCAGAACATTGATAAATTCCAGCATGATGTCTATCCACATTCTCTAATATTAAAGTTGAGCTGTCAGATAAATGCGTAGGCCCGGAAAACACATCTTTCTTAAACCAATAAATGGTTGGAACTGGATTTCCCGAAGCTTTACATTCCAAAGTGACGGTACTGCCCTTTCGTGCAGTTACTTGGCCATTATGAGGCAAAGCACGAAGAGTTGGTGGAACTTGAAATTAAAAAAATACATTAAGATTAATAGCTGTATAACACCAAATTTTTTAGTGCATATAGAGAGTTTTATGGTTTAAAAGGGGTTGTAAAAATGTCATATTGTCATTAATTCCTCAATTTTGAAGAACTTTTCTTTTAACTTTAAGTATAAGTAATGACAACTTGCTTTGACTCCGACATATAAGAATATTGTTTTGAGGGTATTTAGCAGAATTAAAAATGTGCTTAGATTAGAGTTCTGTCGCCTACAAAAGTTCCATCGTAAGTGAGTAAATATATTTCAATAGCAATAGGTACATATTCATACATAGGATGAGGGAAAATTACAGAGAATGAAAACGAAGCTGCCAGATTACAAAAATATCAAAACAATTGCAAACTATAAACTATGCTATGATTAAACATTATGCCCCCATTGAAAGGGACTTTCAATTATTGGATGGTAAGCGACCCAATTTATGTACATATAGCTCGACGTAGTATTCCTGTTGACGTTTTCACAACCACTACGCGTACCTTTCCGTCAGCGCCAGGAACAATGTTGACTATACGGGCTTATAACCACACGTGCGGAGGCATATAATTTTTATGTATCGGCCGCTGTGGTGTAGTGGTTAGCAGTACGCACTTCCACTCCGCAGGACCTGGGTTCAAGTCCTGGTCAAAGTAACATCGCAAAAAGTAGAAAACAAGTTTTTTCTTAATAGCGGGTTGCCCTTTGGCAGGCAATGGCAAGCCTCCGAGTGTATTTCTGCTATGAAAGACAGCACACACACACAAAAATACAATCGCCATTCGGAGTCGGCGTAAAACTCCCTTTTGTGTGAGAACATCAAGGCGCACGCCAGAAAGGAGAAGCTCGGCCAAACACTAAGATATGTGTAAGCGGAAATCTATTATTATTATCCATATATTATTCTGAAACAAGGCGCTTATTCCCAGCGATCTACAAATTATACATCAAATTAAAGTGCTCGATCTGAAACTTTGCACAAACTTTTCATATTTAAGATTCATTGAACCATTTTCGAAATATTTGCGTCGAAAGATTTAAAAATTTGTACATTGAGCAAAGCATTGCTACGTTCATTTCGATAGGCAGCGTCTCAGCGGGACGTAAGAGAATGAAAAATTGTTCCATTTATTCGCTTTCGTCTCTGTTTTTGTTTCATAGCGCTACAGCGGAAGATCTGCAAAGAAAATGTTCCCTTTGGCTCTGTACGTATGTACATACCCAACGTAGTTGCATATCCATATGCATATTTATACACAGCACCAAAAACAACATTGCTGCAGGGCTGTGCGCTTTATTTTGATTTGAGCATTGTTATTTTCCATTTATTCGTTTTCGTACCTGTGTTGGTTTCATATCGAGCAAAGCATTGCTATGTTCGTGCGAATGTGATACAGCGGAAGATCTGCAAAACAAAAATGGTGCTTTTGCCTCTCCATATAGAAATCTTACACGGTTTATCTCGATGTTTTTTTCTGAAACAAATATGGTTCTATTTGTATTATAAATCTATATAAGCATCTATATATATTCGTACGCAGAAAATTTTCTTTCAAATTAAGGTTCTGGATCTGAAACTTTGCCCAAATATTTTCGATATGAGAGTTTTAAAATTGTAAAAATGTAAAACTGAATCTCACAAACGCATTCTCATTTTCACCAATTTTGAACATTTCATTTCCTTATTTTGAATTTTGTATAATTTTAAAATGCTTGAAACTTAAAAGACCGCTTGGCGGGCGAACTGAGGGAACGGTAAAGTATTTTAAACTCTCGATAAATTTGCGTTTCAGAGAATCTGGCTATTTCAGTTTTCTCTTGCGGGTTACAGAGGGCGCGAACTTCCGCCAGACTCAAAAATTAAGATTATTGCCACAAGAGATTATTTTGCGAGATTTAGCCGATTGGGTATTTGAACCTCAGCCTGGTGTAATTAATCAAAACCACTTGAAGGATCGATCAATTTCGCGTCCACAAAATAAGCACTGTACGATAGTTAGTAAAGAAATGGTTAATGTGTTGCCCGGAGTAGAAATGGCGTCGATATCTGCTGCCCTTTCTGAATATCCACAGGAGCAAATAGAAGTAGGGGAGTGGCACCTTATGACTTGATACTTAAGTAGGGCTGTCAGACGTCCCGATTTTCCCGGACATGTCCCGGTTTTAGACTATTTGTCCCGGTGTCCCGGTCCAACCTTAAAATGTCCCGGGTTTCGTTTAAGTGTCCCGGTTTTCGATTTGATTGCACAAATTTTGAATACTGGGGGAAATAACGCATAGTAAACATGAATATTTTTTATTTGATTATCATTTTAAAATGTTCGTATTTAAAAATAATACTTTCATACCACGCACGCGTGGTGTTGAATCAAACTGAACATTTGAATGTACATTTACATGTCAGGCTGTAGCCGAGTGCGCGAAGATGCCTATGTATGGCCGGAACTTCTTGACGGCCATTACCGCCGCGAGATATTCTTTTTCTGTAACACTGTACTTGCGCTGACAGTCATTCAGTTTTTGGGAGAAGTCCGCGATGGGCTTCTCCGATCCGTCAGTTTCTTTCTGGCACAGCACCGCACAGTGGTTCGGATCGCAAATCTAGCTGGACGAAACTATTTAAACAAATACTCGTTGATGGATCTTTACACCACTTCTTACCTAGGGGATTTTTGGGTCGCTGATTACGAATCTGAAGTCACTTATCAAAAACCCAAAATGGCGGATCCAATATGGCGGACGAAAATAAAAAAAGTCGGTGGATTTCTATGAAACTGGGTATCTGGGGGTTTTCTGGGTCTCTGATTACATATCTAAAGTCATTTACCAAAAATTCAAAATGGCGGATCCAATATGGCGGACGAAAATTAAAAAAAAAAATCGATAGATTTCTATGTAACTGGGTATCTGGGGGTTTTCTGGATTGCTGATTACGAATCTAAAGTCATTTACTTAATTTACTTCATTTACTTCGGAACGAGCATTTTCATCAGATATTTCTTTCAATTTACTAATCACATAATCACGGACACCTTGTTGTCTTTTAGAAGTTTCAGCAACACTTCTCCAAATGTCAAACAACTCACTTCTTAAGATTTTATTTACCATGACTAAAATTTAAGATCACAGCAAGAAACACAAATAAATTTCAGAAAAAATTTTATAACAGCGCTTAAAGATTTGCATGCCTGTTGTATAATTTTTTAATTTCAGAAACGAGAAAGTTCGCGAGTTACTATTTTTTTTTAACTCTTACATAACCAAAGTTTTTATAACTCCAAGTATTTTTCTGTTTTAATATACAACCCCTACCAACCCCCCCACCTCTCCCGTGGATCCGCCACTGATCTTATATTTATATTCAGATACATTCCTGTTAATAATTACTTTTGAATTTTGAGATTTGACATACCGTCACTAAAATGTAAATATCAAAGCCAATTGGTTGACTTGATTGTCGAACTTAGCCTCTGCATTTGCGAAGGTGTAAAGAATAATATGCAAGTGGTTTTATAACGGCCTTCGGTGGCCTTTACTTTCCTACTCTTTAATTTATTTTTTTAATTAATCAAAACGACGATTTTTCAGAATAAATTTGCTTATACCAATGTGGACATAAATTGCGTTATGACCCCTGAATCTATAGGGGAATAAGTGTAATTTTTTGTTTATAAACTCAATTTGCAATTAGAGTTCTCAAATAGGCGGCGTTGACTTACCTCTTTTTGTTTGTTTTCATATGTTAATGCTTTAATAAATGCAATTTCTATTTGAATGTATTGTCAGGAATGTATTCCAAGTACCATTAAGTATTTTAAAAACAAAAAAAAAATTGACTTTCGTCCAGCTAGATCTGCTATCCGAACCACTGTGCACCGCGCCTACACCGTAATCGGACGCTTCACATTGGACAAAGAAACGCTTTAAAAAATCGGGGTGTCTAAGCACAGGTGCGCTCCTGAGCGCTCTTTTTATGTCATTGAACGCTTTCAAATCTGCCGCGCTCATCGCAAATTTCTTACCTTTCTTTAATGTATCTGTTAACGGGGCTGCTATCGTGGCAAAGTCTTTGATAAAACGTCTATACCATCCAACTTCGCACTTGTTTGATGGTTTTAGGTACGGGAATATTTTGAATTGCTTTGCTCTTTTCTGGGTCGGTCTTAAGCATACCCCCGCCTACAATATACCCGAGGTAAGGCAACTCTTTAAAACTAAATATTGATTTAGTTAATCCTATCGTTAAATTTGCTTCTTTTAGACAGGTGGCTACTTCGCTTAGGATTTGGATATGGGAGTCGAAATCTGGTGCAATGATGAGCAAGTCATCCAGATATATAAAAACATTCGCCTTGAGTCTCTGCGGTATAACGCGGTCCATTAATCGGCATAATCTTTGCGCAGCGTTACATAGCCCAAACGGCATGGCCACAAATTGATACAGAGGCCGGCCGGGTACGGTGAATGCAGTATATGGCTTGGATGTATCCTCCAGTTCGATCTGCCAAAATGCAAATTTTAAATAAACGCTGCTTATATAATGTGTGTCGTCAATGCGGATAAGTATGCCTTCAATATTCTGCAACGGGTACGCGTCTTTCACCGTCACAGCGTTAAGTTTGCTTGCGTCGAGGCAAAACCGATTTTTGCCAGGTTTTCTGACGATCGTGGTGCGGCTACACCACGGACTTTCACTTTCCTCGATCACGCCCAGCTCTAACAGCTTATCGACTTCTTCGCACACAATAGCTTGCATCGCTGGTGACAGAGGGTAGGAGCGATCCTTGATTGGCACGGCATCATCGATCAGCTTGATGGCGTGTTTCTCCAGGTGAGTTCGTCCTAACCCATGCTCTTCGTACGTTCTGAGGGCGCTTACCACCTGCTCCAACCGTTGTTTCTGCTCTGGTGAGAGTGTATGCAGGATACGCCGCCCATTTTTGTCTTCTTCGGACACTATATCATGTTCTATTTTCCTAAAA